CGCCTAACCAACTGAGCCACCCAGGCGCCCGGTGTTAATTCTTTTTTAATTTTTTGCATGTTCAGTAGAATCCTCCAGTGAAATCATCTGGGCTTGGAGATTTCAGGAGTTTTAAAATTACAAATGAAAATTTCTGAATAGGAAATTTGGTTATAAGATTGTTTAAATTATCTATTTCATATTGGGTGAATTGTGGTAGTTAGTGCTTTTTGAGGAATTGACTATCTCATCTACATTGTCAGATTTATGGATGTAGAGTTGTTTATAGTATTCCCTTATTATTTTTTCTAATATTAGCATTTGGTGCTATAAATTTCCCTCTTAGCACTACTTTAGCCGTGTCCCACAAATTTTGATATGTTTTCCTTTTTATTTCAGTGTATTTTTAAATTTCCTTTGAGATTTCCTTTTTGACTCATGGGTTATTTAAAAACGTGTTGTTTAATTTTTAAGTGTTTGGAGGTGTTTAATACCTCTCTATTATTACTTTTTAGACTGATTACACTGTGGTCCCAGATCACACTCTGTATGCATTTTGATGGGTATTAAGGAGGGCACGTATTGCATGGAGCACTGGGTGTTATACACAAACAATGAATCATGGAACACATCAAAAACTAATGATGTACTGTATGGTGACTAACATAACATAATAAAAAAATATATTAAAAAATTAAGAAAATAAAAATTTATTGAGGTTTGTTTTATGGCCCACATCTATCTTGCTGTATGTTCTGTGGGTCCTTGAAGGGAACTCTATTGTTGGATGGTGAGTTCTGTAAGTGTTGATTACATACTTTGGTTGATAGTGTTGTTGAGATCTTCTGTATCTTTGCTGGTTTTCTATAGATTTTTGAGAGAGTAATGTTGAAGTTTTCAACTGTAATTGTGGATTTGTCTATTTCTCCTTTCACTTTATCAGTTTTGCTTCACCTATTTTACATCTCTGTTTGATGCATATACGTTTAGTTTTGTCTTCTTGGTAGATTTATTCTTTTATCGTTATGTAATGTCCTCCATCTTTGGAACTTTCTTTGCTTTGAAGTCTGCTTTATCTGATATTAATATAACTCATTCTTTTATTATTATTTGAGAGAGAGAGAGAGAACATGGGCAGGAGCAGGGGCAGAGGGAGAGGGAGAGAATCCTCAAGCAGACTCCCTGCTGAGCACAGAGCCCAATGCAGGCCTCGATCCCAAAACCCTGAGATCATGGCCTGAGCTGAAATCAAGAGTCAGACGCTTAACTGAACTGAGCCACCCAGGTGCCCCACTCTTTCTTTTGATTAATGTTTGCATGGTATATTTTTTTCTATTCATTTACTTTCAGTCTACCTATATTTTTATATTTGGAGTGAATTTCTTACAGAAAGTAAGTAATTGGGTCATGTCTTTTATCCACTCTGTCCATTTCTGTCTTTAATTGTATATTTAGACCATTTACCTTTGATGTAATTATTGCTATATTAGAACTTAAGTATGCTCTTTTATTTTTTGTTTTCTGTTTATTATTTTTTGATTCTGTGTTCTTTTTTCCTGCATCCCTGTGAATAATTCAAATTTCTTTTAGAATTCCATTTTTATTTATGTATAGTGTTTTTGTTTTTTTTTTTTTTTAAAGATTTTATTTATTTATTTGACAGAAAGAGACACAGCGAGAGAGGGAACACAAGCAGGGGGAGTGGGAGAGGGAGAAGCAGGCTTCCCGCCGAGCAGGGAGCCCGATGTGGGGCTCGATCCCAGGACCCTGGGATCATGACCTGAGCCGAAGGCAGACGCTTAACGACTGAGCCACCCAGGCGCCCCTGTGTATAGTGTTTTTGAGTGTATCTCTTTGTATAGCTTTTTCAGTGGTTGCTCTAGTATACAGCTGTGTACATATGCATACTTATATATGCATGTATGTACATCTACGTTTGTGCATGTTTATGACGTATCATAGTCTCCTGGAGTCAGCATTTTACCATTTCAAATGAAGCATAGAAACTTTACCTCCCTTTGTATCTCTGTACCCTCCCCATTTATAATTGTCTTAAATATTTCCTCTAAATACATTGAGAGCATCAGAAATGTTATAGTTATTGCTTCAGTCATCAAACATAATATACAAAACTTATGAGGATAGTCTCTTGTATTTTCCCGTGTTTTTATTCTTTCTGTGGTGTTTTCTTTTTTCCCAAGATTCCTTCTTTTATTATTTCCTTTCTATTTGGAGAACTTCCTTTAGCCATTTTCTTAGAGCAGGTGTGCTGGCAACAAATTCTTTTAGTGTTCCTCATCTAAATATGTTTTAATTTTCCTTTCATTCTTGAAGGATGTTTTTGCTGAAAATACAGAATTCTGGCTTGGCAGTTCTTTTAGCACTTGAGAAATATGTTTTCTTTGGGCCTCCATGGTTTCTATGAGAAATTTGCTGTCATTTGAATTGCTTTTCCCCACTCTGTGTTATTTCTTGCTGCTTTCAAGATTTTTTCTGTCTTTAGTTTTATTAAATTTGAGTGTTATATTTGTTGACATGGATTTCTTTGGGTTTATCCTTTCTGGGGTTTATTCTGCTTTTTGAATCTGTCGGCTTATGTCTTCTGTCAAATTTGGGAAGTTTGCAGACATTTCTTCAAATACTTTTTCAGTCCTGCCCTCTTTCTCCTCTGCTCCAGACACATGTGTGTTAGATAATTTGTTATAGTCCCACAGTCCCTGAGGCTCTGTATATTTTTCAATCTAAATTCTCTCAGATTGTTCAAATTAAGTAATTTTTATGTTCTGTCTTCATGTTTACTGATTTGAATCATTCTTCTGTCCCCTCCATTTTGCTGTTGAGCTCATCTATTGAATTTTTTACTTCAGTTATTGTATTTTTTAAATTCTAAAATTTCCATTTGGTTCTTTATATCTTCTATTTCTTTGCTGCGACTTTTAATTTTTCATTTGTTTCAGGTGTGTTTATAATTGCTCATTGAAGCATTTTTATGATAGTTACTTTAAAGTCTATCATCTTGGTCTTAGCATCAGTTGATGGTCTCTTCTTATTCAAGCTGAGATTTTCCTGGTTCTTAGTATGGCCAGTGAATTTTGATTGAAACCTGGACATTTTAGGCATTATATTACGGGACTCTGGATCTTATTTAGATCTGTTTTAGTTGGCCTTTGTGTTAGCAGGGGGGTGGGAGTGCTATCTCATTACTGCCAAGTGCGAGTAAAAGTTCAGGTGTCCCCACTGGGCCTCTTTTTGGCTCCTTGAGGGCAAGGGGCTGCTCATTAGTCCGGGGCAGAGATAGGAATTCTGTCTCCTTAATGATACAGTGGGAGAGCCTGGCTCTTTGCTGCCTGTAGCTCCCTGCCTGGTCTTCTTTGACACCCCAGCAGCATGGAGGGTTGGGGGGGACACCTCATTACTGCCAGGCAGGAGTAGAAGTCTGGGCTCTTAATTCAGCCTTTGTTGTGGGTGTATGATGGCTACAGGTTTTCCTATGGTATTTGACTGGGGTGGAATGCTTTTGTCTAAAACTTTTCTGTTTTGCTAGGCTGCACGCACCGTTCCTGCTTCTTTGGCTGGAGAAAGAAGG